TATATATATATATATAATTTGAAGTATAAATAAGATTATAAATAAAAATGGTAAGTTATTTTTTTACTATCTTATTAATAGTGATAACGTCTTACCCATCTCTGTTGTGTGAATAAATGTTATTTTTGGGTCAATTATAAGGAATGCATCTGTTTTCTCATTGACAAATGTGCTTTATGGCAGTCGTGATTGTATTGTGGCGATTGTGTGGAGAATGTTTGTAGAAAGCATGTTTAATAGATCCAATAACGGCAAAAAATAATAGAAATTTAATATGGTATTATTTCTATTATCTTGTACCGAATTTCGAGAGATATCAATGGAAACTGACGAGATAAAAGTTACATCAATTTTTTTGTCAAAATATTTGAAACGATGTTTGGTGTTATATGAAAACGGTATTATTCGCGTAAAATTCATGAGATTAATGAGACGCTAAATATCATGTTATGCTAAATAATTACAATATATAACTTTTTACATAATTACTTTTCTAACATAATTTTTAATCCGTTAGCTATTACATTTTTACTAGCAGAGCAATTTTTATTTTTTGTACACCAGACATTGATGGAGCTCGCTTTCCCGCTCGACACGTGGTTATAGGAGATTGTCGAGATTTAGTTATGTCGCAAAAACTTGTGGTTTATGGCAGTGAAGTGAAATATGATACTTATCGTAGTTGTTGTCCAGAAAAGTACACCTCAACCATTTTGCTTTCTGCACAGAATGCTCACGTAAGAAAGTGCGCACTGCACAGGCACACATGCGCCATCGCTAAAAACGATATCATTACAAAAAAATCTGGAATATTTGAAAAGAGATCAGGGATGGCTTCGGGCAAGCGCAGCAAATGCATTTCAACTCAGCACCGCTTTTAATGCCCCGCGTTCTTTTTGCTTCAAGAACAATTTCTGAACTTGACAACTTGAAGTCTCAGAATTGAGAACGACTATCTTAATTTAAAAGCTCGCTAAAAACTCTAGTCTGAAATTTTCAAATTAACTCTGCTGTTTCTTTATATTTTCTTTTTTATCATTTATTAAGTAAATAGAAAAAAAACTTGCGTGAAATATGTTTCATAATTTTTAAATATTTATAGTCTCTCAAAAACAGTAGCATTATTACAAAATATCTTTAATATATTTTATATATATTCTTATTTGTTATTCAAATTTAATTAAATTTTTTATAATTATGTAAATTTTATTTATTTATTTTAATTTTGTTTAAATCTAAAAATATAAACTTTCTTAATAATATTGTATTATTATTACAGTGATACTAAACATTCGCTTTCATAAATTTATAGAATTTACGAAATTGAAAATTAAATCAGCTCAATAAAATATATTTTCACACATTCTTCACAAGCAATACATTAATTAGAAATAAAAAAGAATAAGTTTTTTTATCAACAGGACTAGATTAAGTTGAAGTACAGTAAAAATGAAATACCGAATTAATGAGCGATCTGATTTGAAATCCGATTTGTTCAGTAATTCCATTTATTTACGACTGTTTTAATTTAATAATCTACAAAATTTCTCTCCATGTATAGACAAAAATAAAAAATTATTAAGCGTATTTCTAAATCAATCATGTGTCTTTTGCACTCTAAAAAAAACAATCGTATCAAAATATATCTATGAGATTTTTTCTACGCATTTCTTGCTAACTTTGATACAAATGACACATTTAATAATATCGTACAAAATCCTTAAATGATTGATAAAACAAAAGTACAATTCGAGATAGCGTAGCATATTGTAAACACTGTATCGATTTCGGCTTTTAGTCATTAATCTGCAGCTGTTTGCAGTGCTAGTAAAACGGCCTGTCACCCATATATGCTTAAGAAGATATATATACATATCACGCAGCTATAGTTTGTCTAGTGAATCTTTTGTACATATCGCACACAGACCGGAGCAAAAGTCACGTACCATTGCTCGTCTATCGAAGGAGATATTTCGGTGAGGAAAGTTAGCTCGCTTTCGCACAAATATCTCTTTTGCGAAAAATCGAATTCGCATTATATCACTGCATGTCAAGCGAGATACCACTTTGAAACTTGCTCGAAAACTAGCCATCGAAACTAACCATTCTCAATTGAGAGTAAACACGAATTCTTAGCAACGGTACCGATAAAACAATGAAAGACGAATGGAACGTTGAAAATATAATGCCGAGATAAATCGCAATTGGCTTCCCATTTATTTTACTAATATCGTTTTTCTATTACAAGAAAGTGTTACAAAGTTTCACGTTTAATCATGGGATCTAAGAGAACAAATTTATACACAGATACTCGCGCAATTTACAATCATGAGCTAAAGGCCACGAAGTTATGAACATGCAAATATCCTCGTGTAAATTTGTCCGTCGTGTATTAAACTTTAGCCAACAATATAGAATGTATATCAACCAATAGAAAATTAATATAAAAGAACGTTATACAAGATTAAGAAGACAAATATTACATGGATCTCGTAGATAAAAAACTATAATAGACTACTCAGCGTAGATCTTAACTTGCATGAATATGGAATGCGAAATGTAGACATTGCATGCTTTTTGCACTTTATCTAATTCAACTCGGGTATCCCACTGGAGCCTTTTTTTCTTTACTTATTTTTATAAAGTAGCATTTATATTTATACTATGTTTTTATACATTATAATTTTTTATGGCAATTTTAACAAATTAAATAATTATCTCAAAGAGTGATAATTTCAATAAATATTTCATTATGATTATTTCGTTAACTGGAATAAATTTATGATTTATACAGTTTAGTAATTAATGCATTATTATAAATTGTTTTATTTATTGTTTAAAATAATACTCCCAGGAAGGGATACTCGAAATTTTCAAAAAGACTATCTTTATTTACATATTTCGGTTCGCAGGCACAGTGATCGCTACCACTATCATCGCACGGCCTGGCTTATCCTTTCTTTCGAATATCAATTAGCATCAGGATAACTGCATCTACAACTTGGCTCAACCTCGCATTCAGCCTGAAATTACTCGCTGCAGCCCTTTTTTATGCAAAAGGGATATAATATTTTCGACTGAACTAAAAAGGAATGGAAGAAAACATGTAAGAAATGAAAGAAAGGAAAAAAAAAAATAAAAAAAATAGTGTTCTCATTTATTTTATTTGACAACTTATATCTAATTGCGGAATTCATAATAACGTAAACTTGCTTTATCTGATGATGACTAAGAAATGTGCAGCGATTAGGTCAGAAAAACTCGTTAACCTAATTTTGCGATTACTTCGCCGTCGTCCATGCGCTCTAAATCCATAATACAAGTAGTTTACTATTTGCACATTGTATAATTATTATGTAAAATCTTTTAAATTAATTATCCTTATTATACTGCGCCACCAAGGAGGTTGAGTCATGGTGAAAGTAGATTCAGATCGATTAGAATCCATATAGTAAGAGAATGTAAGAAACTGTAATGGAAAAGCAAGAGTGAAGAAAGAGAGAAAGAGGGGGGAGGAAGAGAAAGAGAGAGTGAGAGTGAGTGAGTGAGTGAAAGGGGGAGGGGGGAAGTAAAGTCAGAGAGCACATAGACGAGCGCGAAGACGAGTGAAAGAGAGGGAGAGAGAGGATTATTGTCGAGCATATTTCTATTACTTTCTTGAAATTCGGACCAAGATTTAACCAGCGTTTGTGTGTTCAAATGGTAAAGTGTGTTCTTGGTTGCGGTCCAGCTAGCGGATGAGGACTGGCTGACGCCTAGCCTTCTAGTGTGATGGTAAGCAAGTACATCCCACCAACAGGAACAACTTCTACAGCAACAACAGTTACCACCACCATCACCACCATTATTTCCTCTTCCACTACTACCACCACCTCCAACAACAACAACAACAACAACAACAACAATAACAACATTTCCGTCATCATCGATGCCACCGCGACAGCAAAAGCAGTAAAACTCATGCCTCTTCCGGCTTGACGATCTGCGAGTCGAAAAGCGCTAATCGTGAAAACCAGATAACATTCGCTTAATAAAAAAAAATAAAGAAACAAAGTGAGAAATAAAAAAATAGTAAATAAGAATCCTAGATAACCTTGCGCAAGATGCATCCAACATCCCCATCTCCCCCGTAAGTTTTCACGTCCAATGTAAGAGAAAAGAACCGCTACCGATTACTAAAGCGGAGATACCTCTCGTCCAGTCTGTAGGATAATTTAGCATCTTGCTCGGCTTGAAGAAATAGATAGCGTTTGCCGTTACAATAGTATCCAAAGCTTCAATATAAAAACACGAAATCCGGTATACACGCGAATAAGTCATTCGTGATGGTCTGAGAGTGTTTTCTAGCGAAACTGGCCAATTACGCATACTATGTATCGTCCAGCGATAATGAATATATGAGAAGTACGAGTCCGCACACGTTCAACGGGATCGTGGTTTATCATCATTTTAACAATGCGCATAAATTCCTTGATCCTCTCTACGAAGAAAAAAGAAGAGCGTCCGACAGACCGCCGGATACAGACTCGTTATACGGATTCATTATTTTTGTAGTTTGGGCTTAACAGCGAAAATAATAATTCAAAGATGTAATGAAGGGAATGCTCGCGGCCAAATGCGACGGTTGGCGAGCAGTCGCGGTGTATAAATAATAAATACAAAGATTAATCGAAGCGTACTCTCGTGAAGATATATAAATATATAAATATATAAATATATATATATAAATATAAATGAAAGAATATATACATAAAAGAATAAAGGTTATTATAAACGAAATTCAACAATTAGCTAGTTAGATAGGCATATTATATTAAAAGTTATTCAAGGTTGATTCGAAATTCGGTGGCAAGAAGGAAGTGACTCTTGTGTACATTCGATAACAGCATTTTTACGGGGATGAAATAATCTCAACCCCTTTGTACAATTTGCCCGTCTCGAAAACCACGGAAATTAATATTGGGTACCTAACTTATCCCATTTGTCACTACAAAACGATTTCATATTTCAATCTACAAAACGGTTTTGTATTTTAATCGATATACTTATTTATCATATTCGTGGCCAAACGATAATTCACACATTGAAATCAGACAATTCAACATCGTTTTTATCATTCAAATCTGTCTTTTGGACGCGACTTAGACCTGTTGGATACTTTTATAAAACAAACAGACGCCGTGAGAGGCACTGACAAATTAATACATTCCAAACTGAGAAAGTGATAAAACGCCGATCAAATCACCGTGGTTTTTAAGTAAACGTTAGATTTTTATATAAGATGATTATATAGAACCAAAAAAGATTTTGACGTTTAAGCAATAAAACGTTAAGCTTAGAAAAAAAAAGGTAGCCATTGATCCCTCCGTCTCGTTAATAAATAAATCAATCTCGCTGCGTAAACGAGAGAATACACGAATTCTTAACAACGAAAAAAAAAAAATAATAATAGAATGGACAAGATAGCTAGAGAAAACGGTCCGAGCACGCGTGTATTTTAAATTGTTCAACGCGCAGTAAAACGATCACAACATCCTCGTTGTCCCGAATTTCGACTTGACCAAATTGATACAAAAGAAAGACAAGAGCGAAACTCGTATAAATCGCGAACATGTAAGCAATTGCATGAATGCAATCGTACATATGGGAGAGCGCTAGAGAGGGAGGGAAAGAAAGCATGAAAGCGAAAAGAGAGAAGAAAGAATGGGAGGGAGAGAAAGAGAGTATGAAAAAAAAGGCCAAGCGACGAATAAACCGCACAGCACAAGCAAGGGACGAGAAAAAAAGGGGTTAAATTAATTCGTAGATAGACATATTGCACAAACAGCACGAAAGTTAGATTAGACGAATTAAGTTTTTTTTTGTTCACGCGTGCCCTGTCCGCGCGGCAGCCGTTTATGGTCCTGTTCGTACATAATCCCATCATCGACGTGCTCCTCTGTCATTAAAACTATCCGCTTGCTGAAAGAGGATCGGTCAGAAGAGGTGGAACGAGACACGAATCGACGAGGTGATAGCACGAGCAGTTTCAACACTTGAAAAGATGGGAAGCGGCTGAAACTTATTGCAACCCGTTTATCTCTCTGCTCGATCGTTTATATCTCCATCGTCCTGTTTCTTGCTCCTCGTATCTACTGCCTCTTCTTACCCCTTCGGTTTTAAGTAACACAACTTATACTCGTATCGATAATATCTTGTCCTCGCTTTTTATTCGAAAAGCGTTCATATCGGAGTAGAATTAGGACGACACAAAAACTAGTGAAACTAAAACTTTAAGCTCTTAATCGTTACAGAATTACAAAAAATAATTTTAATAAGATATTTCAGTTTTTGTTCAAAATTTAAATTTCTAAGATTACATATTGTATAAGATTTTTTACTTAATTTTTATTAATCTTTGCTACGCGAGGTTCTAAAAGCAAATCTTACAAATTTAAAGCTCCGAAAAATTTTTCGACATGAATCTTTAATATTTTTGTCCTCGTTTTAGAAAAAGTTTACCATTCGAAAGCATCGCCTTTTCTAAGATGTGGTGTCTCTTTCAAATATCTCTTTCGTGACATCACATTTCGTGGATGTATAATTTATAATTTTTCTCACGCGAATAGAAACGACAAGAAAGTAAAGACAAAGAAACAAAAGGTTCGGTTTAAATTAAGTGGGAAGAGAGCACATCGATGATGACTGAAACAAAAACGAGCGATAGACGACTTCGATATTAATCAAAAGATAGACGGATCGTGCTTTAAGTAAATCAAAAGCGTGTTCGACGTTTCGCAATCAAAAAGATCAATGATCAAAGTACGGCACACACGAATGCTCGAAGCGCAAGGAAGGAAGTGGAGAAACGGCACAATCAAATCTGCCCAACATCGCATAGAGTTTAGATATTTCGTGATGAAAGTAGAGAAAGAAAGAGAGGGAGAGAAAGAAAGACAGAGAGAAAGAGAGAGTGTCTGTGTGTCTACCAACGATCCGTCACGATTGTGTCAACCGGATAAAAGAGTGATTTTCCGTGAGAGGAAAGCTCGACAATAAAAATCGCCACATTTCAGCGTTTTCAATCGCGCACGATGAGTGATTCTGATATAGTAATTCATACATAACCAAAATTAAGAATAATAGCATTGCCGCTATATTTTTGGCTGCATTTTTGTCGCCTTGCTCTTATTTGATTTGCAGCTTTACGAGGGAGCGTAGAAGAAAATTGTTACATACCATTCTGAGTTCCATTTTCTACGTTTGAACGTAGAACCATCAAAAAAAGATACCTTATCAAATTTATTTCTAATTTGTGTTGTTGTTGGTATGTTATTAGAAATATATTTATTCATACATATATTTTCAATTATCTGCACATAATTTTCTTATTGAATGCATTTAGCTTATTCTAAATTTTATTATGTCTTTAGTTTAGAACAATATATGAATTATCATGCACGATCGCACGTAATGTAAACGCGGCCACGATTATTTCTTGCAGTTTTTGCATGCCGCTGAACATCAACTTTATAATCATCTTTCAGTTCTTTCGTAACCTGCACCTTAAAAAAGATTTTGTCTATATCATTATGATTAAATATTCTTATTCTTTCGTCATTTATCTTTACAAAAAATGTAATAATAATAATATTATCAAATGTCCAACAAGAATATTAAGAAAATTAAAACTGTCAAAATGTAAATATTTAATGCAGGTTACAATCGCGATTTGCAAAACTTTCGTATTGTTTAAAATTTTAGCTTAACAAAATCGTCTAATGCTATATATAACGGAATCTCGTTTTCTAATAGAAATTGGGTGACTAGCCTCGAGGACACGGCACGAGTATGCAAAGAGAAAGCAACAAAATTATAAATAAATATATATACATACATATAAATACAAAAATGCATATATATATTATATATATAAATATATATACTTGCGCGCAACGGCGGCGAGGGCTGTTATTTTCAATCGTCGTGCGTAAGACAAAGCACTGTGCGTGAGAAAGAGAAAAAAGTTAGCTTTTAAGAAACGACATGAAAAAGAACATATATAAGCAAAAAGAAAATATCGTGTACATTATTAGTTAGGCAAAGAAATAAAAATATAGGTTATTTTTGTGAAAGGTGGAACGAGCGAGGGGAGAGTGGGGGAACAGAAAGAGAGAGAGAGAGAGAAAAAGATCGTGTGGCAAGAGGGACCCAATGGCAGACTGTAATACGAATTATGCAATAAGAACCTGTTATCGCGTGCGTTTGCATCTGTCAATCAATTCCTGTACAGTAACGTATAGCGGGAAGCGTTTAATTGACAAAAGAGGATATTAATTGGATTTGACACAATCTACTTTTACGTTCCTTACGTTCCGCCCGGTCGCTCCCCTTATCGAATTGCTCGCTATGCACTTCGACTCGATTCCACCTTCGACAGAGAAAAAGTGAGGGATCTCGCATTCTTTCAAAGAATTAGCGTGGATGCCCAATCTTGTAAAAAGTATTAAAGAAAAAAAACGCCTTAAACATGAAGGCGTATGTATAACTTAATGTAGTCCTGTACGTTGTTTAGGACATATACCGAGTGGAGCTAGCCGATTGACGATTGAACGAATCGTCGCGTTAAACGGAAAACCAAAATGTAGCATAAAGTGATAGATAGATAATTATTAATGTAATCTGACTTAGTAGGCAAACAAAAGGGCAATGGAATCACGGACGGAAACGACGGATGACGGGGAAGTGTGAAACGGGGCGTAATAAATTGTAAAAAGAGGGGGCAAACTTGACGAAAACCACACACCGTAGGACAAAACTGACAGAGATCCACTTATGGTACCTAAGTCACGGACCCATTCGGGAAAAGGGACACGCGCGCGCAAACACAAGGTGTAAAAACATATACGCGTATGTAAATACACACAACACCAAGTACACAAAATGCATACAGCATACGTGTAGAATGTAGCGGCGAGAAACTTAACAAAAGCTCTAGACGTAGTCTAGTCTAATCTAGCTTGTCGATCACTATAGGTTAACAAAATAAAAGCGTTCATTGAGGAATAGTGCAATAATTAATACCCGCAAGTTATACTCAGCACTCTTATACGGCACAAATGGCAGGACATACACCGAAAAATAAATATTGACATGTATAACATGTATACATGTACACACACACACACACACACACACACACACACACACACACACACACACACACACACACACACACACACACACACACACACACACACACACACACACACACACACACACACACACACGACGACGTACGTACGTACGTACGTACGTACGTACGTACGTACCGTACCGTTACCGTTACCG